GTGCATGGACTTGAATGCACTGGGTATATTTCAAGTAGGCCAAAATATAAGAATAAGCTATCATCTTGAGTCTAAAAAGACATTATTATTCAAACAGAAGAGTAGTTATCTACAAAATTATTCATATTGCAAAATTCATAATTAATACTACGATAATAAAAAAGTAAAAGGAAGATTTTAGAATAAACCTTGAGAGCTGAAATACCCTTTTATTCATGGAAGGAATACCTAATGCATTTGGATCAATCACCATGGATCAAGACCAAACTAACCCTTCAGGATAATGATGGATAGTTTTCTTTTTCTTTTTTTTTTAATAATAAATTTATTTTTTATTGGTGTTCAATTTACCAACATACAGAATAACACCCAGTGCTCATCCCGTCAAGTGCCCCCCTCAGTGCCTGTCACCCATTCACCCCCACCCCCTGCCCTCCTCCTCTTCCATCACCCCTAGTTCATTTCCCAGAGTTAGGAGTCTTTATGTTCTGTCTCCCTTTCTGATATTTCCCACACATTTCTTCTCCCTTCCCTTATATTCCCTTTCACTATTATTTACATTCCCCAAATGAATGAGAACATACAATGTTTGTCCTTCTCCGACTGACTTACTTCACTCAGCATAATACCTTCCAGTTCCATCCACATTGAAGCAAATGGTGGGTATTTGTTGTCTCTAATGGCTGAGTAATATTCCATTGTATACATAAACCACATTTTCTTTATCCATTCATCTTTCGATGGACACTGGTTCCTCAAAGAGGAACAGACCTGCCCTACGACCCAGCAATTGCACTGTTGGGGATTTACCCCAAAGATTCAGATGCAATGAAACGCTGGGACACCTGCACCCCGATGTTTATAGCAGCAATGTCCACAATAGCCAAACTGTGGAAGGAGCCTCGATGGATAGTTTTCATCTAGAGATCAGATATTTCCTAGCTTTGCCAAGCACCAATGATGAAGATAAAAATAAAAAACACTTTAGAGAAGCCCAACCAAGGTTCTTAAACTCTGTGCAAAAGAGTCCAGGCATGGGTACTTCTTTAGATCATTTCCATCTTAAGTAACCATCAATAAGCTAAAAATTGTCTTATCAATAGTATTGTGTGTGTGTGTGTGTGTGTGCACGTGTAACCCCTTTCTGTGGCTGTGTGTTGGTAAACACTTCACAAGTTCTTGGGGAGAGAGCACTTACTATAACATTTGCTAACTTCTGTGGTATAAATGCTCCCATCATGGCTGATTTCAAATTATCAATCTGATATCACTGAGCACAAGGTAAGAGATCACAGTTTGGTTTTGCAAGCTGGTATGAACAGGCTTTAACAAACTGCTACTTTCATGAGTCATAATTAGTAAGCCTACTGAAAATTAGAATGCCATATTTATAAATCCATGTGTCTAGGACATGTCTTGAGATGTTCTTTGTAAAAAAATTTCTCATTGAAGAGATCTCCTTTTTACTTAGCATATGGATATAGTTTAAGAATTGAAGAGTTAGCAGGTGTCAGTAACCAAACACAGGAGCCAAAGATGGCAGAGATGATCATAAGTTTTGGAAAGATGGTGGAGTGAGGTGGGGAGCTGGCTGGAACTGAAGAGGTTGTCTCTTTGCTTTCCCAGGATTAAGACACATCCTATTTGGAGACCTGGGGACACTGCATTGAACAGAAGGTTATAGACTGATCCTGAATATAGAGAACTATCTATAGAAGTCAGAGAAGAGGTCAGGACACAGAACCAGCCATGGAGGAAAAATTCAGTGATGTACATCAAATATCTGGTCAAATATAGAGCTTTCTGGAGATCTGGAAGAAGGCATATCCATCAACAAGATGTAATTAAGTAAACAGGAAAAATAAAAAACACCAAGAAACATCATGAAGGAGAATGATGAAGGTAGGCAAAATGGTCAAATACTCTATCAAAATACAGAGAATCAAGAATGAGGAATGGTTTTACTGATTTCCGCCAAGGAATGGGGCCACAAAACAGGCTGCAAGGGGTCCATGGAGCACAGGAATCCACCATTTGGGAAGACTGCCCATATATGAGTCAATACTCCCTTCTTACAACTTGAAATGTGGTGTAAGAATTGAAGGCTTCTTCCTGCCTAAAACTTAGTTCAGATCTAAAAACTAATGAGCCAATGAAGGAAGAAAGCCCAAACATGCCATGAATAGAGCTAGTGTCAGGAAAGAGGACTATTCCAGCTGCAGGCTGAGAGGTCTGGCTCAGTGAAAAATGGGCATTCTGGCATGGCTCCTAAGCCTCTCTGGGTCCAGGGTTGGTGGCCAGTTCCAATGTAGAAAGGCCTTATCCAGAACCACAAGATGGATGGCTGCCCCCAAGTGAGCTAGCCTGCGGCAGAAGGACCAGTCTGGCAGAAACCTTTGGAGAAGGTGGCAGTTTGGCATCAGAACCTCTGCCAAAACAAAGTAACTCTGAAATGAAAGGAAATTTCAATCAACAGGAGAAAAGCTGAACCCAGTAGGAAACCCAACATGTGTGCCTGACTCTTCAATCTCGAGTCTGGATGTTCGCTTTTGGTCTCAAAGGCTGAGACTGGCTCTGCCTTCCTGAGCCTGTGTGCACACCCACCCTGCCTCTTGGACAGACATTTTCTAGAGACATAGCTTTGGCTGGGAGGGAGAAGATGTCTTGACTGTGCTTGAGCTGATCTCTAGGGGTGACTACCAGCTTGCTCTTGCCCTGCTCAGTGGTTGCCTAGGAAACCAACTCACCTGGGGTCCAATCCAGCTCATCTGGGTAACCTTCACTTCTGTCTCCTCTCATTTCTCCCTGTAAAAAGCCTTCTTTTTTAAAAATATGTATTTATTTATTTTAGGGAGAGAGAGAGCATGAATAAGATACTCAGGAAGTAGCTCCCATTGAAATGCAATAAAAATTTGGGTCATTGTGAGTTAAAGCTGGGAAATGCTACATGATTTCAGGGGTTAAAAGATTTCGCAGAAAAGGAAAACTCAGATATGGATCCAGGACCTGAGAGCAAGGACAAGAGCAAAGACACAAAGGCAACCATGAGTGGATGTGCCGACTGTGTTACTTCAACGATACATAGCCAGCAACTGCCAATTCATTGTTCGCAGAAGGAATGGACAGGGGAGGAAAGCACCTCCAGCCTCCACTCTACGAGGCCAATGAGAAGAGCTTGTTCTAGTCTCAAGGCAAAGGAGAAAAGAAAAAAGTAGAATGCCATACTTCAGGGTACCGGAAGGGTTCTAGGTGTTCCCTGGCTGCATCCAAACCAAGGTGCCTGATTTCCCCTCAACCCCTGATCACTCCTGCCCTTCCCTTCCTGCCTCTTCCCCTTGGGTTAGGGCAGAACTTGCTCAGAGAAATCATTTCCTACAGCAGTTCCTACCTTGGATACAAACTTAAGGGCTGAGCAACCCTCACAAGGATGAGGGGCGGGTAGGGAAATGCTTCTCCAACTATGATGTGCTTTACAACACTTGGAGATCTTGTTGAAATGCATAGTCTGAACCTTTAGATCTCAGCTGGAGGCACTTGAGAGTCGTCATTTCTTGTGAGCTCCCACCTTGTAAGAGACACACATTGGTTTGCTTCTTGAGGCACACTCTGTGTAGCAAAGAAAGTACCAATGCTAAGGGTTCTCTCCACGACTGTCTGGCAGCCCATCCTTCCCTACAGTTCTGTCCCTAACTTCGTGGAGACAGTAATTGAATTATCCGCTCTCAGGGAGAGTCTGCCACTCTTGGGGCTTAACTGGGTGACTGGAACAAATATTGCCTACACACTAGCCTACCTAGATACCCTCCTGTCTAACGCCTTTGCCCAATTCCCCCTGCCTAACCCAGTCTCAAAGAAATGCTTCTGCCTTGGGGTCTCCATTGTTCCTTATATAGAGAGGAGGGGAAACAAAGCAAACCAGCTTTCACAGGTGAAGATCCCCAGGGCAGATTTCTACCTGTCCTTTCACATCCCTAGCCTGAGAAAGATGCCTCACCTGTAACAGTCTCATCTCTCATTCCAGGCCCTGACTGTAGGAGGAAATAATTCTGTCCTTCATGTCACTGATATACAGTGTAGCAACTCATAGAGGGAAGTCTTGGCCACTGGCTCTGGCTCCTTGGGAGTTAGAGTGAGCGGGGCATGGTGGCTCAATCCTGGGGCTCTTACTGCTCTAAAAACCCTGCAAACATGGGCTCATTTCCTGGGCATTTTCTGAGAGTTTAGGGAAACATTTATATGTCAGCTCTCCTGGATGAGGACAATGACCAGCAGCTTGTCAATTAAGACAATCTTTGAATACTAGCACTTCATTGAGTTACGTAGTTAAGACAAGAAAAATATAAAGCCAGAGAACGTGTAAGCAGAAGTAATATTGATCCAACCTATGCCGGAAGCATGTGAGCTTTCTCTTGGGAAGATCACAGGGCCCACTCTGCGAGGGGTTTCTGTCCTAATATTTCATGTTATCCTCACAGCAACCACTGCATGTAAATAAAGGAAAGTGGGGCTCAGACAGGTTAACTATATTGGACCCAGTTTCTAGGCAACAGAGCTGGAAATCCATCATGGGTGTGTCTGGCACAAAAATACTCGTGCATGAAAGACGTGTGTACACACTTTGTACTAACCTTGGATTCCACAAACCTGGACTCGAATCCTGGCTCTACCCTTGGGAAAGCCACAAGTCCTCATCTACACACACAGACATGATGTCTGCTGCTGCTACCCTTGTATAATTGTAGGATGAGATGAGCATAACAGGTTTTGGCTGTGCCCAGCCCTGAATTTAGGTCTCAGGGAAGTTCAGCAAGCCAGCAACTGCCTTTTCTTGTTTGTCCAGATGATTTCTGATGTCAGATTGCCTCTCCACCTCCATGGGACAACCCAGGTTACATACCCCAACCACCTGCCTCAGGATCATCTTGTGGAGGAAATAACTAGAGTCTGAAGCAAAGAAGGGGCAAAAAAGAGGGGACTGTGAGGTTGGGAATGTCCCTTACCTTTGACCAGTCCCCCACAGTTATATGCGGAGGGCAGTCTGTTCTGGCACAGGACTTATGGGAAGATGCCTTGGGTCCTTGGCACAGTTCATCAGAGAGATTCAAGAAGCTGCCATCTGTTAACAGCTGCCGACAAGTGACTCTTCTATTGTGAGTTCCCCCACCACATGTCCTGGAACACTGAGAAGATGGAAGAAGGCGGGTCAGGGTTCTTATGGTCCCAGATGGGGTGGGCAATGGGGGCCCCCCATCTGCCATACCTGTTGCCATTCTTCAATGTGCCAGCTAGGAGGGCAATCAAACTGATTGCATGCTTGTAAGGCATGGGGCTTTTCGTCTCCACATTCCTCAGCAGGGGCTGGGGACTCCCCAGGGTGCAAGCAGTATACCTCTCGGGTCTGGATTCCAACACCACAGGTAGCTGAGCAGGGGCCCCAAGAGCCTGTGTACCACCTGCACCAAAACACAACACAAGAAGTAGAAGTGTCTGGTGCGACTAGGTGCAATGGTCAGAGCATAGACAATTTCAAGTTTTCTTGGATGTCCAGAGTTTCTGCTCTGTGGCAGACCTCAGAGTCACAACATCCCCACCACTAAATGTGATTAAAATATAGGAACATAATATTTAAAGGCAAAAAATGTTGGGAAAGAGTTTAAAGGTTTTACCCATTTGGGAAAACCCAGAGCACAAAAGAAGCAGATTTCTCTCCATTCTAACATACCACCAAATATCCATAATAAAATTTTTTGGGTTTTGTTTTGAATAGAGCCCCAAGGCAAGCATGATTTATACGGGTGTCAAAAGAAATTTTAAATGCTCAAAAGCACACTTCAGGAAATTTTCAGGGCACCTGGATTCATTATTTGGAATATCCCTAAGAAAATTCTTCTCTGTTAGGATTGGATTTACAACACGTATATATAATGTGATTCCTTTCCAGTAAGATCTTGGAAAAATCAGGTTTTCTCATGAAACATCTGTAAAAATGAAAAACCAGGGCAGCTGCTTTTGATACATATTTCCAAAGTGCATTCAAGGAAGATTCTCTCAATTCACACTCCCAGTAGAAGCATGTGAGGGTGCCTGGCTTCCTACACCCATATCAACAGTGGACAGTATCTCTGCCCATCTGAGGAGTGAAAAGTTGTACATTATACTTATCTTACTTTGTGGATATTTAATTACTAGTGAACATGGATTTTTAACTAGTTACCATAGAGCTATATCACAAGGAAATAATTTTAAAATGCTTAAAATTGACATGAAGGGATGTTTGCTCCAAGGTAGTTTGTAATAAAAAAATAAAAATAAAAAGTTTTGCAAAATGGAAGGAAACAATCTAAATGTTCTACAATAAAGAGTAAAATAAGTAATTATATATTCATACAACACAATGCTAACAGTCATTTAAAAATGAAGTACAGTTATTGATATAGAAATAAATTTATATATTTTTATTAGAAAACAGAAATACCTTACAGTGTTGTTTTATACATTTATAAATACAAGTAGAAAAAAGTCTGGATTATTATACATCAGAATGTTAACAGTGATGATCTCTAAGTGATAGAGGATTTTATTTTCTTTATTCTTGCCAGTATTTTCTCCTGTTTTTTTCTTAAAATAAACATTCATTATTAGAAAAAACAAGTTAGTTCTTTGAAAAAATTTTTATCTAAATTTTTCCTTATCTAAAGGCAACCTCCAGTTTTACTGATTTCTAATTTTCCATAATAAACATTTTTAACTTGTATAAATAAGAGGAAAAATTAAAAATGAAAAATATTCAAGACAAATATAATGGGAAAAAACATGAAAATTTTTACTTATGAAGACAAAAGTTCACAATATATAATCATATAACTATGAAGACTGAATAAAAAGTATTTATGAAGTACAGCTGTAAGATATAAAAAAATGGAAGGATAATAAAAAATTTAAAAAGCTATAAAATACTTCTCTAAGCTCCTGATATATCAGCAAGGCAAACCTTAATAAGAATACAGAGAATTGAGGTGCCTGAGTAACTCAGTGCATTAGGCATCTGACTAAGATTTCATTTATTTATTCATGAGAGACACAGAGAGAGAGAGGCAGAGACACAGGCAGAGAGAGAAGCAGGCTCCATGTGGGGAGCCTGACATGGGACTCGATCCCAGGACTCCAGGAACATGTCCTGGGCTGAAGACAGGTGCCAAACCCGCTGAGCCACTCAGGGATCCCCAAGGCATTTGACTCTTGATTTTGACTCAGGTCATGATCTCAGGATCTTGGGCTCTGCACTCACTACGCCATCTACTTGAGATTCTCTCTCCCTCTCCCTCTGCCCACCCCCACTCATGCATGTGCACTCTCTCTCTCAAATAAATAATTTTTTTTAAAAGTATATAGAAAACTAAATAACACATTTGAAAACCTTGATGAAATAAATAACTTTTTAGGAAATTGCAAAATTTCTATTCAAGATAGGGACTAGATCCTGTTAACTTTGTGGTTGAGTTCCTACAAATTTTAAAGAAACAGGTGAATTTCCATGTCATTTTAAAAGTATATACAATACTAGTTAATGAAGGACATAAGGATAAAAATGTTTTCTAATACAAAACAAACATCTCAGTAAACCAGAAGTCAATTGGAAGCACAGTGGTAGCATGAACTAAAGTTGTCCAGGTTTAGTGGATGCCAAGATTGGAAACTTACAATGGCAGCTGGGAGTTCTATTTGTATGGGGAAATTAAGAAAATAGCACCACAGTGTGGGGGTGACTGAAGCTAAACTCACTTGTAGAAACACAACTGGGTAAGACTCCCTGACCCATAATTGAAGGCTAGAAGAAAAGCAGCCTGTTTGTGCTTGGAATTGATCAGCTGCCTGGGATAACATAAAAGAATAGAGATAAACTGGAGCCTGCTTATTTTTCTGAAAGATTTATTTATTTATTTATTTATTTGAGAGAGAGTGCACAAGTGGGGAGGGCTGGAAGGAGAGGAAGAGAGAATCTCAAGCAGACTCTGTGCTAAGCGCAGAGCCTGATGCATGGCTCAATCTCACAACCCTGAAACCATGACCTGATAGGAAACCAAGAGTCAGAGGCTTAACTGAATGAGCCACCCAGGCACCCCTTGAGACTACTTTTGAGCCAAACTATCATATAATATTCTGGGAGGGGTTCTGCAATATTTTACCTGGGATGAGAGCCCCAAAAAAGCAATATGAGACCTGGCTCTGATCTGAGGATCTTGGGGAGAGATATTCATTCAGGTAAGCACAAAAGCCCCAGATAGGAATATATAACTCCCATTTAATATGAGCTTGCAAACCAAAAGGTCCAAAGAGAGAAAAAAAAATAATGACGTGAAAGATAGCAAACACACTCACAACAGATGAGAGAATTCTTCCCTAAGGAAGTAGAAATAATAATAGCACTACTTGCATACCATGTACTATTTCCCACATTTGGTTTTAATATAATACTCATGTTATCTTCATAGTATCTGAAAAAAACTTTAATATAACTATGCGGGATTTTTTTTATTCTTCAGGGCTAATGGTGATTCAGGAAATAGCAGATTGATTGCATATGCTTACTTCTGTTCCCTTCCAACCACATCCCAAAAAATACCCAATAAAAAGACAGGAAAAAGATAAAAGTGGAATTAAACAAAAGCATATAGCCGTAAAGACAAAGAGACTGTGAGAGATGCAGTTGAAACATTTTATAAGCTGGAGAGAAGATGGAAAGTGATGTTTAACTTAGCAGTCTGGAGAAATCTAAAAACCAAGCTGATAGTTGGGAAACTCCAAAAGCAAGAAGCCATGAAGGGATCAGACACAACATATTTCTAAAAGTGGGGTATAGCTGAAGCTAAAATAGATTCACTGAAAGTCTATAAAAACCTGAAATCCTTTTGCGTCTCTTAGGCATGCAGGATATTTATTCTCCTGCACCCAGCAAGAGAGTGAGAGGCTACTTAAGGGCTTGGGGAATAGCAAAAAGTGGGAGACTGTACTAAAAATAGGGATTAAGTGAGGGTTTATGTATTATCAGGTGAGACCACCAGACTTCTTCCCTGACTTGGCTCAGAGAAAACAGTCCCAATCAGACTTGTATTCCTTTGCTACTCTCAGACAAAAGGTTGGAGAAATCCTCCCTAGAAACATTAACTGGCTTGAGAGCAAAAAAATTCAGGATATCTCCCTCTGAAATAGCCCATCCAGATCACTCTACAGTGATGCCTACCATTCAACAAATTTTGTCCATATACACAGGGCTTCCAATCTGCTTTTTAGTGTGTCATTCTTAAATAAGTAGATAGTCAAGGAACATAAAATATTTAATGAAAACATCTAAGAAAAAAGAAACAAAAGTAGGCATACAGGAGAAAAAGGATACAATGCAAAGTACAGAAGAGAATAAAACAAAACTAATATAAAATAAAACTCCATAATTCATATTCAAGAAACAGAAGATAATGTATTCACAAAATGAAAACAGGACGTTATTAAGAAAAGTACTAGGAACCTACAGAGAACCAAAAAAGACTCTTGTAAATCAAAAATGACTAAATAAAAATGTAACCGATCAGTTGAAAATAGAAGTAAAGAAAACTCTCAAAAGTAGGAATAAAAGAAATGCAAAATAGGGTCGGTTCATTTCAACATTATATAATGGGAGTTTCATTTAAAAAGCAGAAGAGAAGAATAACTCAAGAAAATTTCCCAAAATGGAAAGAAGCATTTGGATTTCAAAGCCCTCCCCAATTTCCCAACACAAAAGATAAAAATGAACTAAATCAAAGTATACAACATTGTTCCATTGTCTTCCAGAGGGAATAAAACAGGTTCTCCAGAGGAATGGGGATCTAGGTGGCAAAGCAGTTCTCAGTAGCAGCATTGAATGTGAGAATTCAGTAAATGGAACAACACTTTGAAAAAAAATTTTGAGGGAAAATTATATGCAACCTTGCAATCTATACCCAGACAAAATATCAAAGTAGAATAAAACATTTCTAGATATTCAGAGTAAAAAATTAATCCCCAGTTTTCTTGGGAAGCTCTTGGATTTATGTGCTCCAATGAAAAATACTGAACAACCTAAGAAAGGGGAAGGCCTGGAACATGAAATATGGCAAAGAATCCAAAGTAAGAGAGATGCAAGGAGCCCTCAAGATGAGAGTGAAAGGAGAAGAAAGCTGTTCAGGAAGGAGCAACTAGTCCAGTTTGGATCAGGAAGAGGGATATTCCAATAGGGATATCACTGAGAAAACGATGAAACAGAGTATGTGTTGTATTTTAATGTAGTGAGAGGGTATTTAAACTCTGGTAGATATTTTGAGAATAAAGTAGTGATGGGATCATAGGAGCTGAGCAAAAAAAGAAAAAACAAAACAAAACAATTAAGGCAATTATCAACTCCAGAGAAAACAAAAATGAAAATGCAACCATACTTAAA